AAAAAAAAAAAAAAAAAAAATAGTGACTATCCATAGATAGAGACGTGAGAAGGGATCATAGAATAAGTCTAAGAAGCTGACCAAATTCAGAATCTTGTAAATTAGAAATTTTTGTAAGTACAATGTCAGTAGAGAGAATCATCATCAATCTATTGTTGAGATGTTGCATAACACAATACACATTTTCTCCTAAACACATTCTATAACTAAAATAACTCCTGTAACCTGATCTTATAAATGTATCAGAACATAAATCAAGATTCAGGTGTTACTAACCTATGTCATTAGCCCCCCTCGTTGCACGGGTAATGTGATAGTTAAATCTAAAGAACTGCAGCTCGACGAGAAATTTCATTCTTCAAACAATTGTGTATGTCCTTATTCAACTTATTATAAAACACTGCAAAGCAAAACGCATGCTAGTTTTTTTCGAACAGGAACTCGATATCCCCTTATCACGACACAGAACCAGAAAAACCGCATTGCATCAACTACAAACAGAAACCGACAGAATAAAATCCGGCGAATGCTTTTCCCATAGTTTCTCCACTTCGTATTGTGACACAAACAAACCTGCATTAGCCACAACAAAACTGAACCAACACATTCTCACTCTCTACATATACGAGCAAGAGAATCCACACGCTCAGTCAAAAAGGCATAAAAATTCCCTAACCATCCGAAAAAGCTCGAGCTGCCGCCCTAATCTCCTCCACTCCCTGCAAGAGGAAAACATGGCCATCGAGCACCAAAATGCCCTTATCATATGCTTTGCAAACGGCGAAGACCACACAATCGACATGAAATCGATATACGAGATGCTCACCTCAAAGCCCGGGCTCAAATACTCTCTGCTAAAGGACATCATCCTGGACCAACTCGCGCAGGGTACTGTCAGGTCTGGTGCGGGTGTCGAGTGGGGAGAATCCAGAAAACCTCATGTCGCTCGTCCACATGTCGCTGGCGGCGGTGCTGGTCGAGTGTATGAGGTTCCACTTGGTGGTTTTTGGAAATTGAGTTAATTATTTTTTCTTTCTTTTACCGTGGAGATTGACTGATTTTTTATTTTTTATTTTTTCAATTTGCTCTGTATTAATTAAGCCTACTCTGAGTTTCTAGTTATTTTCCATCTCCATTGATCACCTTAACTGATCTTACTTTGTTATAGGTGCCAAAACTCCCTTTATTACTCTGTGACATGCTCGTTACAGATATTGCCATATTTCCCATGGCTTCATTTGATAGTGTAAACTAATTGCTAAGGCTAGAATGAAAAAATGAGCGACTCGGTTATATATTATCCTTTAACATCAAAAGGCTGCGTTAAAGTAAGCCAAAGGAAAATAGCTGGAATGGATTCTATCTAGCCATCATACTCACAATCAGCAACACCAGTCATCGTTTTCTCTTCACGCAGAAACCTTGTAAGACACTCTGTTGTACTAAGACAAACCCAGGGTCTGAAACCTCAATGGATTGACAAATCTAATGAACTGATTATTTCCCCGTCTTAATTTGCCCAGTTGCTAAGATTTTTTCTGTGCTGGGGACGACTGAGCTATATAATGTTTTCTAATGTTCAACAATGTTCCATAACCAGCAGAAGAATCGACAAGCAAAGTATCAGTTAAATAAAAAAAGGAACTATTTTATCATGAGCAGAACACCAACCACAACTGAGCAAGCAAAGCAAACAACAAAATTGAAACTTAATTTCTTGTCCCCAGACAGGTAGATAATACAAAATAAGAACATAAGTTTAATTCCCCATACAGTAGATCATACAAAACATGCATTACATTTACTTACCAAAGCCACAAGCTACTTAAACTAATTACTTACCAAAACCACAAGTTCCTTAAACTATTTACTTGCAAAAGAAGCATCTCAAGTGTTACGATGCATACTTATACTAACTAGGCAAGATGACTCACTCTCTCCATTTAAGTTGAAAGCGTATCTTCTGATCAACATTGTTCGGCAACTCCAATTGGGATAAATCCTTACTTTGCACACGCCGCCATTCGACTCCATTTCGACCATAGGCCTCCACACTTACTTCCTCTAAATCCTGCTGCCAAATGCGGTCCTCCCTTTCTTTCTTCATGAGGAAGATCCACAAACGATCAATGAGTTCATTGGCTTCCCCATACTGATTGCTCTCTGGAACTGCTGGCAAATCCATGACTTCATCGGCTATTCCTGCTTGAACGGCATACCAGTGATCCATTAAGCGATTAGCTGCCTGTTCCTCAGCATACAAATCAGCCATGATATCTTCATTCTCTTCATCATACTCTTCAGTCACTGAAAGAGGATAGATAGACTGTTCTATGTATCTCGGCCGAAAACTACCAAAAAAATAATTTAAAGAAGCTTCAAGGGAAGAACAAGGACGACGGTAAGCAACACCCAAGCTTTCAATCACGGCAGGTTCTCCAAAACCCCCATAACCATGTGGTACCTCCAGAGGAAAACCCCTCATGTGCAGATGAATCCTAGAATGATTCAATGCCCTAAGCAGTTCGTTTAACTTGACATAAACCAACGAAGTTTCACTTTTAGTAATCAGTTCACGCTTCAAGAGTATGAGTGACCTCCACTCACTGGAATTCGTTGTCAATGTGATTGAGGGGAAATATTCACAAAGCAATTCAAAACAACATATATTCGGGAGGTCAATAGCTGCCTTGGTGGGGCCATCCACCGCAAGATGCAACCGCTTAATCGAATGGCTTGAGAGCTGGAAAATGTCAAAGCCGCTGCAGAAGTGTATTTTCAAATCCTCAAGACAGCAAAAATCAACCGAGAAGCTATCGAAGTCCTTCTGGGTGAGCACCATACATTCCAGAAGCAGGGACTTGAGACACGTGAAGGTCTTCCCATTGTAAAGCCAATTCGAACGTCCCACAATCTTGATGCTCTCTATATTTGGCGCTTCGATTTTGATAGTGCCTTCAGAACAGTACACCGAACGATGGTATTCAAAGTGTTTGAGACTATAATTATGAACCTCAACTTTTGTGATACCATGACAAGCCTCAACGGCCAAGTGTTCGATCAGGGGGCAATTCGACATTATCTTCTGCAAATGTTCGTCTTTAATGTCGACCAAAGAGAAGGAAAGTTTACGAAGATGCCAAGAAAGAACCTTCTCCACGGAATCAATTCTGCATTGCTCGAGACACAGGGACTTGAGACAAGGGAAGGTCTTCCCATGGAGAAGCCAACTAGCATATCCCACAATACTTATGCTCTCTACATTTGGGGCGTCGATTTTGATAGTGACAGTAAAATACCCTTTCAAATTGGTGTATTCAAAGTGTTTGAGATTAGTATTTTGAACCTCAATTGTTGTGAAACCATAACAGGTATCAAAGGCCAAGTGTTCGATCAAGGGGCAACTTGATATTATTTTCCGCAAATGTTCTTCTGCAATGCTGACCTCGAAGAAGGAAACTTTACGCAGATGCCATAAACGTACATTCTCAAACGATTCAATTCTGTATCTCTTGAGATGCAAATCCTCAAGGGTTTCAGCTTCAAAGACGATCGACGGCAAATCAAAGTAGTTCGAGATGGAAATCAGATGGAACCTCTTAACGCCCATATCGAGCAAGACGATAGGGACCCATTTTGCGAGAAGAGAAACAGAATTAGTATTAATTATGCTTACATGCAATATGAATTCTTGCAAGCAAATTTCCCGGCCATGGTAAAATTGTAGCGTACTGTCCAAATTGGACAGGAACTTTTCATGGTTCCCTTCGTAGCACGCTTCATTAAACTCGATTTTGGGGCGAGTAGGGCCAATAGAACGCCATGATTTGGACAAAACGCTGGTTCTGGTCGCCTCCTCTTGGGAGAGGAAAGCGAGAATGTTGTGCAATAAGGGTTGTGGCAGTTCGGAGATTCTGCCGTCGCCGGAGTTGGGACAACATTTTTTTTGCGGCTGTTTTTCCATGGCTGATTAAGAAGATTTTTGCAGATCTTGGATAGGAACCCATAAATTACTACGTTTGATGCATTTTTTTTTTTTTGTGGTACAAAGAAGGAGGCCGCCTAAGCACGTTAAACGAGAACTCGACGGGGATAAGCTACGCCGCGAACATCATGATCGAGCCAAACTCCGAGCCCCGGTGGAGGATACAAACACCTGCTCAGGCCCAAAGGGGAGGAGGAAGCAAGCCCCGCCAAGAAATCAGCTGCAAAGTTGGCCTCTCTATGCACATGTTGGATTTTAACATTCCACTCCCGCTGAGTCAAGTCTGTAATAGCCCGAACGATAGAATCGTGATCACCAAAATGCCTACCGGACCCAGTGACCATTTGAACCGTTTGATGCATTTTTTAACCGAACCGTTAAACACCGCGATATTTATCGCCACCTAAAAGACTAATTTGTCCTTTATACATTTTTTTTAAAAATAATAGATGTCCCTCTTTAAACCTATTTACCGGCCAAACCGAGCCTCGAAAAATTCCGAAAACACCTCTGAATAATTCCGGCGAAAAAATACTTTCCAACAAGACCGATCATGCGGCGGTTGACCGGTCAAACCGGCGGCCGACCGGTCAAACCGGCCAAAAATATTTATTTTTTTTTTGGGCCGGCCGGCCTCGAATGCTGGCCGTAGCCGTGTCGGCCTTTTGCCGGTTGGCCAGCCCATGCACGTGCCGATTGGCCGGCCCATGCACGGCCGGTTTCGCCGGCCAGCCGGCCATTTTTTTTTTTAATTATATACATTATATTAGAATTTAAATTTATGTTATAAATTAGAATTTAATATCTCATAGTTAGAATTTAAAAATTGTTAAATTATAAATTATAACTAATTATCTTATATAATTTTATTATTATTATGTTAGAACTCATTAATTATTATGTTGTATAATATAATACTAATTATCTCTAATAAAATACTAATGCGTGATGCTGTTAAAAATTGTAGTTCTCTTTTTTTTTTTCTTAAATCCGCTCCTTTTCAACTCGGTAATAAATTTTAAAATACAAAATAAAATTTTGACTTAAATTTGAAATTCATAAATACCAATTTAAATAACAAATTGAATGAAAAAAATCGGATTCTGTTAGAGCAATTCATTGAGACCGATTAATTTAGTATGATTTGACCAAATTTTATGACAAGAGATTGTTTGACACTTTTCTCAGTGTTATATGATTCGTTTGAATATTATAGTAGGAAAAGCGTTCTAACAAAATAGTAATAAATTCTAATTTATAATAGTAATAATCTATACCATAATAATTTCTAACTTCTAACATAGTGGTACTAAATATTATTTCATAAGGCTATCAATACTAAATCATACCATAATAATATCCAACTTTGAACATAATAGTAATAAATTATAATTTATAACATAATCAGTTTTAATCTATAATACAATAATTTTCTAACCTCTAACAAAATAGCAATAAATTCTATTTCATAAGACAATCAATTCTAATTTATAATACAATAATTTCTAAGATAATGACAATCACAAACATAATATACCCTAAACCCTAAACCCTAACCACTAAACCCTCAACCCTAACCCCTAAACCCCTAAACCCTAAACCCCTAAACCCTAAACCCCTAATTTAAGGTTATGTTTGTTATGCACTTGTTGAGGATAAAATTAACTAACAACATATACAGTTAAAAAAATGATATTAGTATAATTACTATAAGTTATATTATTATAAATCAGAAATGATACTTGTTTGAAAAAAATATGTTAGTATAAATTATTATGTTATATATTAGAATTGATAATCTTAGAATTTATTACTAATATGTTAGAAGTTAGAAATTATTGTATTATAGATTAGAATTTATTGTCTTATGAATTAGAATTTATTGCTATTTTGTTAGAGGTTAGAAATTATTGTATTATAGATTAAAACTGATTATGTTATAAATTATAATTTATTACTATTATGTTAGAAGTTGGATATTATTATGGTATGATTTAGAATTGATAGCCTTATGAAATAATACTTAGTACTACTATGTTAGAAGTTAGAAATTATTATGGTATAGATTATTACTATTATAAATTGAAATTTATTACTATTTTGTTAGAACGCTTTTCCTACTATAATATTCACACGAATCATATAACTCTGAGAAAAGTGTCAAACAATCTCTTGTCACAAAATTCGGTCAAATCATATTGAATAAATCGGTCTCAATGAATTACTCTAACAAAATCTGATATTTTTCGTTCAATTTGTTATTTAAATTGGTATTTATGAATTTCAAATTTAAGTCAAAATATTATTTTGTATTTTAAAATTTATTACCGAGTTGAAAAGAACGGATTTAAGAAAAAAAGAGAACTATAATTTTTAATAGCATCACTCATTAGTATTTTATTAGAGATAGTTAATATTATGTTATATAACATAATAATTAATGAGTTCTAACATAATAATAATAAA